AAAGTAGATGATGGAATTAGGACTTGATGTCTTCACAAGAGTTGTAGGAAATCTTCTTATCTTTCATATGAGATAAGTATGAGCATGATAAGAGTAGTATAACTCCTGATATGCTATTTTATGTGAAGGTTTCCATTTCACAAGGAGTGATTTAGTTAAGTTGGCATGGTTATGGAAAAGTTTGTACGTAATTATGGAATATGCTATGTGTGTTTGGTTTGGAAAGCTAATAGGACTTAAAGGAGTAAGGTTATGGTATGGATTGGGAGATCTCTTGGTGAGATCAGGATATAGTCTTTGGGAAAATATGGAATTTGGGAGTCCCATGGTGAGGATTCCAATACAGAACTTTTCCAAAGATTATATAATAAACTACTTCAGATGTTAGGTGGATTCTGAAGTACTCCTCAAAGTATTCTATTTTCTACCGGTATGAGGGCAAGGCCGATTCATACCGATGGATGAAGTGACCACGATCACCAGGGTTACATGACGACGTAACCCAATTGTATATTTTCCATGAGAGGTTAGGTGTGTGACATGGGTAGGTGACATGTTCACGAATTCAACACTTGGTTTGGATGTGTTGAGATCAACATTTGGTTTGGATGTGTTGGCTACTTCATGGGATTATACAGTGGTGTGACTTTGGTTTGGATGTTGAATATGTATGCATTTGGTATGGATTGTATACATTGGTTATGGATTCTTTATTATCATAGAATATGTATGCATTGGCATGGATGTGTATACATTGAATTTTGGATTTGTTTATATTTGGCATGGAAATGACTTGTTATAATGTTGTCATTCCCTTGGTATGGATAAAAGTTGTTGATGAATATCTATTTTGATGATATTTCATTTATATTGTACTATGGTTGGTTTTATACGTGCTAACCCTTATATTTCCATGATGTGGATTGTGATGATCTCACTATGTGGGGAGTAGATCAGGTGTGAGGCTTTGGGATGGCAAAAAGTCTTTTGGTAGCTGCTTTGAGAAGTGGCTAGACTTAGAGCTTGACCAGCACCTAGGGTGTCTTATTTTGATGTCTTCATGATGTTGTATATTCATTATCTTTTTGGATGACTATATAACCTTGCTGAGGATAACTCTTTTATAAAATTATTTTATATTATGGAAACAATTTATACATTATTTTATATTTACACTCTAGTGTAACTGGCTTTTGTTCTCTTTTCTTTATCATATATTATTTATTATTAGTCGTTTTGGTTGCTTGTTGATGTAACGACCTAAGATAGGTTGTTACAAGCTACACTAAATGGTGAAATAGATGAGGCAAGACAAGAAATAATGCCAAGGAAAGACAACCTAAAATTAAGGCACAAAAGAAAGCAAGCACTCAAATAGAATCCCTACCAATGGCTCTAGAGTAGATTACCAAACAAAAATCTAAGATTACAAAATGAAAACAAGATGCAATTATCAATAGTACATGGCTGGACAGTTTTTGCAAGCAATATAGACACAACCGAGAGCCACTTTATCACAAATTTCTACTCCTTTTGGCTTTTTCTTTGGTTCTTTCTTTTGTTTTTCTTCTGCAAATTCTTTTAAATTTTTCCTTTTATGCAACCAGGAGTTTAATGCCTTTTAAAAAATGTTTTGGTCTCAATCTTAATGAGAAAAACGAATTACACACAATGTGTTACAACAAGAGGTCCATAAGTGCTTGTGTTCACAAGTGCTTCGCAAATTTGTACAAATTTTCAAATAAAATTCAAGCACACTTTTCTTTTCTTTTTCTTACACTTTTAAGACACTTAGAACCTCTGTTTTTCTCTATTTTGAAAGGTTAAAAATATGTATAAGGTTCAACCAAAACAATTGCACAAGAAACCTAAGAGACAAGTAGTGTTTATGAAATTTTCTTGACAAACTTTTTCAAAGAGACATCATAGAAACCTAACTCTAAGAATTTGCTAGAACTAATAGCAAATATAAACTCAAAAATGTAAATCAAAAGCACATTTGGGTTAGCCACACAAGAATATTAAACAATGAAACCGAATCACATATATTGACTCAAATAGGTACGACAAGCTATTATAGGAATTTCATGACATGTAAAAGGACTACACATGACTTCTAGACAAAACTTCCATGATTAAAAACCAAAAGCACATGCTAAAAAATATTGTTCATACACGGATTCAAAGGATAAGGCAAGACTCAAAAAAAAATATAAAAAGCACAAGTATAAGAACCTATAAGCACAACCAGATTTGGTTCAAGAACAAGGAACAAGCAAACTATTGAACCAAACAACTCATGTGACATGTGGATCTATCAATAATTTTTATAAAAATTAGATCCATTCAGCAAACACCACAAGACATGTAAGAAGACAACACATGACCGAAAATAAGGAGAAGAGAAAAACACACATAACCTCAAGAGCAACCATGGCTCTAAATACCAAAAATGATGGAATAACTTGAAGAAGTGATGAATGGTCCTCTTCAAGCTCCACCTTGAACGTCCTCTTCTTCTCTTAAGGTCTTTAATGGGGGATTTGTGAAAACACTTCAAGCTCCAAAGCTTGAGAGAAGCAACTTAGATGGTTCGGTTTCTTCCTTGAAGAGGAAGAAGAAAGAATGAACCAAGGCACAAAGGAGGAACTCCTTTGTGAAGGTTCTTAAGGAGAAAGTTATTCTCCACGGTTTAGGACTCTTAAAGTAGAGAGAATTTGATGAAAATTTTGATCTCTTAAACTCAAAAGTGATTAGAAAGGTTAGGAATATGTTTATACAGAGTAGGGAAGCTTGTGGAGCAAGCTAAGCTAACCATGGTTCAAGAGAACCATGGTTGGCTTAACTTGACCGACCACCATGGTTTAGGAGGCTTGTGGAGAAAGCTTCTAACTTAGTAGCTTGGGAAGAAAGCTAAGTTAGAAGCTTGTAGCACAAGATTCTCAAAGGTGCCAAAGGTGATAAGCAAATCCGGCCAAAGAGAGGGATAGGTGGCCATGAACTTGTTTTCCATATTTGTCCAATCCAAATAATTTGAAATTGGTTTAGTTAGGTTCACCAAATGATGGTGAGGCCTAGCTAAATCAATTCCTTGGAAAATATGGAGCAAAATAAGCCCAATATGTAAAAATTGGCCTAGGCACAACTATAGCCCATTTAATAGTTACACCTTCATACCTTGCTAATTGCCACCCCACTTCTACTACTAAAAAATGTAAAAATGAATGACCTTTAATACAAGGTCAAGTGGAGCAAAAGTCTCCAACAAACCTACCCTAAATACACAATAGAATATGCTACAAAGAAAGAAATAAAGTGTCTCACAAATACAAAAGTAAAAATGAACCTATACAAGAAAACTATCTACAAATGAACTAAGGCCTTCTCTTTAAGATATGGTGGTCCACATGAAGATTACCTTGGGCTTAGAGAGCCCACTAACCTTTAAGTTTTCCAACCCTTCCTGTATGCTTCTGGCCATAACTCTGGTAATTGGGCCCTTGGCTCATGGTCCATCACTTGATTGCAAAAGAATACTGGGTTGTTAAGCCTAAAAAGACTTGTTAAAAGAATACTTGAGTAGTTGCTTGAAGAGATAAGTCAAAGAATACTTAGGGTTGAGCCAAAAGTGACTTACTAAAAGAAGAGTTAATCACCTATATGCTGACAGTGTAAAGTTTTTTACATTGGCAACCAATCAGATCTGTTAATAGTACATTTTTTTATTTTAATTTAATTAAATGAACAAATGACATGGCACTATTAACAAATTTGATTGGTTGCTAGTGTAAAAATGTTTTACACTAGCAGTATATAGGTGATTAACTCTTAAAAGAATACTTGTATTTTTGTTTAAAGATAGTGGAACTCAATTTGGTTGAATTGAGAACTAAGCCAAGTTTTGTTGATTGAGACGAATCAATATAAAAATACTTAGTGTTCCATCTGATTGCTCTTATAGACTAGTGTTACTACTTCACCGTAGAAAACATGTGAGTTTTTTATATACACTATTCAACTTCCTTCTAGTGTTTATTCTATTCAACTCCCTTATACTATTTATCTTTTCTTCACGAAAAGGATAAAAAAACTGCAAGCATAGGGACTAAAAAGATATATTTTAAACTATAGAAACTAAAAAATATTGAAAAAAATAAATATAAAGACTATAAAAATCTATTTTAAACTATATAGACTAAAAAGTAAAATAAGTGAAATTATAAGGATTAAAAAATTGCAACTACAAAAATTAAAGTGATATATCATAAACTATAGAAATTAAAAATAATAAAAAAAGATAAATATAAAAAATAAAAAAATTATTTTAAATTTAAATTATAAGGACGACAAAATAAAGCAAGTAAAATTATAGGAATTTAAAAAAGTATTTTTAACCACTATTTAATTTCATGATTTCTAAATTATAAAGATAATTTTAAAGTATTTTTAATTATAAGGAGAAATTTTTAAAAAAAATTATAGCAACTTGTAGATTAATTTAACGAATATTTAATTATTTATAATTAAATCAATTTTTAATTAATATTATATTACAAATAACCATTAAAATTATTTTTTTATTAATTAGGTAACCTTTGACATTTTAAAAATTAAATATTCAATATTTTCTATTTAATATTTTATTAATTTTACAAAATATACTTTATTTTATAAATATATATTTTTTAATGAAATAAATAATTTTATATAAAAGTTAATAAATGATTTTTACTTTATTTTTTTAAGTTATGATTTTTAATTTTAACTTAAAAGTTGTTTTACTTTTCACAAAAAAAAAAAAAAAAAAAAAAAAAAAA